GGGTTCGCATTCTAAGAGCTCCGATGGTAACTGCCATCACACTAGATCAAAGATTGCACAGCGCTCGGTTTGCCGGACACTGCTCCACACAGGTGGGCCGATTCAGCCTAGCCACAGGCGGACCCAAACGGGTGGCACCTCTGGTAGTTGATATGCCGGTTACCTCCCTAACTTGGAACGCCCATGGACTTGTGATATGGGATATTATACTAGATCAGTTTTAATGGCTAAGAATGAATATATTGAAGGATAGGCCTATACATGGGCTAGGACACGTGGCATAATGGTATTGGTCAAGCCCAACTTGGGCACTAAGGTACGGAGGTCGTCCGAGTTGAAAGAACCCGGGTGAAATCTATATCACTAGCATTGGCGCCGTCTATGGGACCCGTTCAAAAAGCCAAAGTATCGACCATGGAAAATGGAGTTTCGACCGAAAAATTCTGAAAAATTTCCAGCTACCTCCTTCACCTCTACCTGCTGCCGTCGTCGCCAGCCAAAATGCTCTGATCAGAAATTTTTTTATGACATCGGCCATCGGGTAGATCTCCTCGAGGTGATTCTCTCCTTAAACTTCGATTTCACCGGTAAAACATTCTGGATCTAGTAAATTTCAATCAACATCTGGCCTTCAAATCTATTTTCCCGGTGATCTTTGATAGCTACTGAAAATTCGAGAGCATCGTTGGAATCTCTCACCGAGGAGAATCTAGAACAACTTACCTTCACCCCTGCCGTCGCCGCCTCCGCCGCCAGCCCCTGGCCAAAGTCGTCCGATCTAAATTTTTTTATATCGTCACGAAGCTCTTCTTGTGCTCGTCATCCTCCTAAAATTTCAAGAGAAAATTCTACCGGGAAGGCCGTCAATTTTGCCCGTCAAACTTTCTGAGATTTATGAAATTTGGTCAACTTTCGGTCTTATTCTCCAATTTTTGGTGATTTTCGGTGAACCACTTCAAACCGAGGACATTGTCTAAATCTCCTAATCGAGGCGTACCCACGGCCGGTCACTTTTGCTGGAGTCGACGAGTTTTGGCTGGTGGTATTTACTCGGCGAGCTGTAGCTATTATGATGATCACCTAACGCAGCAGGCGTGTTCGCACAGCCCATCGCTGCCCCATGTTCCAAGCGTGCACAGAGGCCCAGTGCTCCCCGCGGCCCAGCGTCTATGATCTAGCTGCACGGAGGCCTGGCCCAACCATTATATGTGCGGCCAATGGTGCGAAGCCCAGCAAGAGAAGAGGAGAACACGCAGGCAGCGTTCGGCCCTCACAGCCCGCGTCCCAGATTCGACCCACTCCCAACCTGCGTGTGGCATGCGGCTCTCACTGACTGCAGCCCGCATTCCGGCCTGCGCGCGGCCCATTCTTTGCAGCACTCCTTTATGGCCCATATGTGCGAGTCTCTGCGGCCCAGAAGCCCCCCAGCGCGGCCCAACGATGTGTTTTCAGCCTATTGCAGTGCTAGTGAAGCCCAGCGCATCCCAAAGGCCCGAGAAATGCTCCAGCTCGCAGCAGCGACGGCCCAACACCTTGACAACGTGTCTAAGCTGCCCAGATGGTCTTGCAAGGGTCCAGTGAGACAACGAAGATTCCAGGACGATGCGACGCGTACGGTGAGGTAACTTTAGGTAACGTTACCGTGGTGAAGGTATGTGATTAATTTAAATTATGGCTCCAAAGAACTTTAAATTAGTGAGAATTGAAAAATTATTGGGATTATTCGTTGAAACATTAATTGTTTTATTCGTTGCACTTGGAGAGGCGAACAATATTTTATAAATCACTAATCAAGCAAGTTTGGTCGAAAATAAATGTAGGTCGTAGTTTCGAATTGAAGATATTTTGTGATTGTGCTTATCGTGTGTTTGGTGTGTTTATCATTTTTTATTGGTGGACTCAAAGGCATTGGTTAAAACTAAATTAATAAGCTTAGTATTGGGTGAAACTCATTTGAATTTTCGTTAGTGGGCACGTGGTTTGAATTTAGGTGTTTTGCAAGCAATCATGAAGTGTGATTTTAAATTAATTTTTGCGATCTCGGTGTGTGGTCGAAATTTGTGAATTGGATAAATGGTTGTTGAAATCTGCGAAGCATGTGTTTGGTTGTCATTTTTTGGTGAATTCATGGTTCTGTGAAATTTTGGTCCAGTGTGCCTTTGCGTGGGTGTTTTTGTGGTTACGTATTGTCGTAAAGAGGCTTGTTTGTAGATTGAGGTGTGGCATAAATGCACGTGGATCATTTTCACATGTTGAATTGAGATACGTTGAGTAATTCCCGTTAAATAAATTTTAAAATGATTGCTAAAAATTAACTCTGATATTTGAAAAATATTCGGTATTTTTCTTTTAAAATAACGGAGCGTTACATGGCGTCAGGTCATTCGATTTTCGACCTTAGTGATAGGTCACTCGATTCTCGACCTCAGTCGTATGTCATGCGGTTCTCGACCTCAGTGGTAGGCCATTCAGTTTTCGACCTGAATGTGGCGTCAGGTCACTCGATTTTCTACCTCATCGACAGGTCACTTAGTTCTCGACCTCAGTGGTAGATCATTCAGTTTTCTACCTCAGTGGAAGGTCACTCGGTATTCGACCTCATCGAGAGGTCATTCGGTATTCGACCTCAGTGGCATGTCATTTGGTTTTCGACCTCAGTGGCGGGTCATTTGGTTTTTGACCTCAGTGGAAGGTCATTCAACTTACGACCTCAGTGGCGGGTCAATTGGTTTTCGACCTCAGTTGAAGGTCATTAGGCTTTCGACCTCATAGGCATGTCATTCGGTTTTTAACCTCAGTGGCAGGTCATTCGGCTTTCGACCTCATCGGTAGGTCATTCGGTTTTTTACCTCAGTAGCATCGGGTCATTCGGTTTTTGACCTCAGTGGCGGGTCATTTGGTATTCGACCTCATTGACAGGTCACTTGGTATTCGACCTCATTGACATGTCATTTGGTATTCGACCTTAGTGGAAGGTCATTCAGTTTTCGATCTAAAGATGGCGTCAGGTCATTCAATTCTTTTGATGGTTATTCAAGATTCGGAAGTCGTGCAGATCATGCGACTTTCATTTCGTGATTATTTGGTGGTCGAGGATTTATTCAAATTATAACCTCACTGGCAGGTTGACGGAAATAGTCAAAGGATGCATTTCACTCTTGGATCGAATTATGCTCACTCGACCAGAGTGGTGGGGACTACATGATATGGGATATTATACTAGGTCATTTTTACTGGATAAGAAGGAATATATATTGGAGGATAAGCCTACACATGGGCTAGGACACGTGGCATAATGGTATTAGTCAAGCCTAACTTAGGCACTACACCTCCCCTATAAAAGGAGTCTAAGGTATCCCAAAATCTAACTCTCTCTACATTCATGACTACACTCTCATATTGCACTCTTCATCCATGTTCCCTTCTCATCCCGTGTTGATTCTCGAGCACCCCCCATCTGGTTGCTCATCTTTCCGCTTCCAAAACATGTGGATTCGCCACCACACTTTCCATGACATTGTCAGGGACTCCTGGCTGCAGTCGACTGGGCTCTTCTGGATGCGCAACCTGGAGGTCAAGCTCGGGAGACTGCGGCGTAGGCTGAAGCAATGGACTAGAGATGTTTTTGAAGATATTTTTCTCAGCGCCTCTCTGCAGCTCAGAGTGCGTATGCTGACGCTAAGCGATCATATGATCTGGACTCCTCTCCGGCCCAGGCCTGGGTCCAGCCCCGAGCTAGAGCCCGAGCCCACGCCCTGCGGGAGGCCGCGCGTGTGGCCGAAGTCAATACCAACACTTGGTGCATAACTTTGGTGTTGTTGCGGCCTCTCCAACTCTGTTTATTATAATAAATAGAGTTAATCTCATTTAAGAGTCTAATGTGGGAATGACTTTTGACTATTCGAATCCCACAACTATCGTTTTACGTGTCCCATTTATGGCTAACTCTAATCATTTATTTCTTACTCAGCGAAATCAATTTTGAGAAAATAAATATATTACAAGTATCTACTCGAAACGTAAAATTTTTCTACACAATTTATTCAACTCAAATTAAATATTTAACCATAAAAAATTCAGTCAAAATTTGGTCAAACCCAAATTCAGTAACTGATTTTTTCCAGCAATAATCCAGCGAGCTGCCTTTGCACATGCTCTTTCGTCCCTCTCAATTCATTTTTCACTCCCAAAGGCCAAAACTAAAAGAGCCCTACACACACACTCTCTCTCTCCTTAGCCCCACAAACACAAAATCAGGCACGTTAATCGAAACTGATTGTTCTCTTTCCTCAGAAAAACTCCAAAAATCAAAGGTAAAAGTGACCAAGACATCTCACAACAATTGATAACGCAAATTTGCAGCTGAACCATATCCGTCTCTTTTCTCTTCTTTTTTTACTTGGATTTCAATGCTATGTCTGTCCCCATGTTAACACGTGTTTTGGATTTTTTTGGCTCATTCCCCATTCGCCTCAGAGACCATCTGCTTTAGTTTATAAGTGTTTTTTTCATTTAATTTATTTAATTTGGGTCTCTTCGGTATTTGCATTGATTGGGAACAAAGGAAGGCCCGTTGTTGGAGTAAATATGGGCTGTGGGGCTACTTTCCCGTGATTTATCTTAAAGCAGTGTCAGGGAGTTTTCCTCTATTGATGCCTAAAGTTCTCAGAAAAAATAAAAAAAAAAATAAAAAATTCTTGGTCTCTTTTCAAACACCCAATCCTCATAACCTTCTCTAGGTCTTTCTCTCTTTCAATAGTTGAATGATGTGCATAAAACCGGAAACCACACTCGTGACTTGTGCTTTTTCAAAGTCAAAGAAATGGCAGTGATGCTTTGAGTGTTACGTTTTTTTTTTCCCTTTTTTTTTATAAATAAAAAAATCCAAGCTGTCAAGTCATTCAAAGTTTTTTTTCTCTCTCCGATACCAGTTAAAGATAAAATTGATCGATTGATTAATATATAAATATATGTAATGTGATACTGTTCTCATTCCTGCAGTCACTTCCCTACGGTTCCCTAGCTGCGTTCCGAGTCAACTCAGGTACACTCGGTTGATCTCGTATATATACATAGCTTCCTTTTCCCAGAAGCCAGCTCAGGACAATTTAATAATAATATCCACAGCTCAAATATGAATGTCGATTATTCACCACAGCCATTATCGTCATTTAGGCGGCGAGCAGTAGTTGCATTTATGGCGGCGGGTCTCTCTGTTATTTTCTTGCTCTTAATCATTGCCATCTATACAGGTCGCTCTTCATTAAACGCATCTAATATACCATTTTTGTTTGCGTTATGATTTTGGGTGGAAGTTTAATTTGTTATTTGAACATGTTTATATGGAATTTGCTGTTTGTTAAAAAAAATGGCTATTAATTAGGAATGCCCACTTTTTCTGTCAATAATTCATAATTATTATTTTATAAATTTATAATGAGTCGGTGATTTCATCCCATCCAATAGATACTGGTAACTATATTAAGCAGAGTATTAGACACTTAATTTAAGTTTTTTTTTTTAGAAAAAGGGCTAAGATTTTATTTTCTCTTTTACGTTTATTTCTGTTTTTTTTTTAATACATATTATGCATTATTTATTGATTTAAGTATTGCATTTCAGATTCAGTTATATCCTCCAAGGAGAGCTCAAACACTTCCCAGAATACGAGCTTCTCCCTTACACTCCGCAAGCTGCTTCATAATGGTAATCCTAATCTAAGTCTTCTTTTCAACTAATAGGTTGGAAAAACAAAAAGAGGGAAAACACTAGCAATCCAAGAATGCCCCTACATTTTTCTGAATCCTCTGCATTTAATGGTATATAATAATCAAATTAGACAATGAGATTGCGACCAGACATATAACAAGTGGGTATAATAAGTATACAGCTTTTTATTTAGCTCTTACTAAATGGATGAAAAAAACAAATTCAGTATGCCCTTTGGCCTATGCCTATCCATTCATTCATTCATGTATGTGTTTCCATATTATGTGATTTATTTATGCTTTATTAATTGTTATGTCTTTATCTGCATGTTTACATGCAACACACACGCACAGAGTATGAGAATCCTTTGTCCACTACTGTCGAGTGTTGACAATACAATACGTGTCGTTTAAACAACCCCAACTTATCAGTCCCATTCTGCCCCACCTTACAATCTAGCTAATTTTTTTTTTTCTTTTCTATTTTGAAATTTTAATTTCCCCAAGCATAATTGATGATAATTGAACTATTCTTAATTGAATGGGAGTGTATTTAATTGAGATTTCTTAAATAATTTTTAAGATTTTAAAAATTATGGTGTATTCAACTTAGATTTTTTAAAAAATTTTAAAAGTCTTGGGATATTATTGAGATTTCAAAAAATCTTACAACATCTTGAGGTACTTAATTTATTTGAGACTATGATTTGTGAAAGACTTTTTCAGATTTTGTGGGATTTTTAAATAAGAAACTATATACCAAATCTCACTTTAAATCCCACCTCAAAACTTAAAATTTCATAGGATTCTTCCAAAATTTGAAAATCGTAAAAAGTCTCAAAATGTTACTAGAGCATCCACAATGCTTTGGGTTCAACCACAAAAAATTGTATGCCACCTAAGAAATAGACTTAGTCTAGAAAAATGTATTCTCCAATACAAACTAAAGTTGAGGTCATGCTGATGTGGCAGCCAAAAAAGAGACCCGGTCTACCCTTAGGTCTATTTTAGACCCAAGTAGAGACCTAATCTCTTTGCATTGGAGTGCATTTTATCAATTTTACATAGTTTTATCCATGTTATTCAAGACTTGGGTTTATTTACATGCGACATAGGTAAGATTAGACCCAATACATTATAGATGCTCTTGAAATAATGAAATCCGAAAATCTGCTAGGGTGATTATTTTTTATGGTTGAGTTAACTTGACTATAGAGAAACAAGTTTATTTGCACGTGGGCCCATGGTTTTTATGATTTGTTCTTGTTGGAATTTAATGGGGCCTTTAGATAGGGGAAAGAATGAAGTATTTAAAGGGATTATAGAAAGTAATATATTCTATATATGCCCTATTTGGGTGCGGTTGTAAAAAAGGCGAATACTCTATTCTCTATACAATCCATTTTCGTCCAAAAGTCTATTTCACATTTCCCTCCCACATTTCCCTAAAAGGTTAAAAGCCTATCAACAGTGACATTACAGTGGAAGGCTTACAAAAAAAATTCTTTCCCTTTCCCTCTCTTCCAAAGTCAAAAGAGTTGCAATATTTTCTGCCTTGAAAAAAGGTCTCCATTTATGTATTTTGATCTTTCCATGCAGACACAAATTGAGTAAAAATAAAATAATTGAAAAATCGATTCCTGTTTATATTATTACTATTAAAGACTGAACTCTGTATTTATTGGGCTTCTGTTTCAATTAACAGCACTGGAAAAAAAAGTAAAGGGTGATGAAAATGAGAGCATAGCGAATGGTCGTGTGGAGCCAAACAGGATATGGAGCGAAAAGTGCTCGAAATCCGACATCGTTATAAGTCAGGGCCCCACAGAGCCACTTCCCAACGGTATTCCAACCTACACTGTCGAAATAATGAACGTTTGTGTCTCAGGCTGCTACATTTCAGCCATCCACCTAAACTGTGGCTGGTTCAGCTCGGCTCGACTTGCAAACCCGCGAGTCATCAAGCGCCTCGCCTTTAACGACTGTCTCGTTAACAATGGAAAGCCGCTTGCTAATGGCCGTACGCTGTCCTTTCAATATGCCAACACCTTCCCTTACTCCTTTTCCGTTTCCTCCCTCACTTGTTTGCCTCTTTAGCACGCTAGTTTCTTGCTAATTATATAAGTAGATATTTGGGGGTTAGTTTAATGAGAAGGGAAAAGGTGGGTGGATTTTTTGGGCATGCCTTCACCCATATTTCTTTTTTTGTAAATTGATTTTGATTTTTTTACTATAGATTTGGGGTTAGTGTTGAATTTTTAGAAGTGCGAATGACGAATGGGATTTCAAAATTTTCTTACGAACTACCAAAATTAGGCTATACTTATTCGATACGACCATAGATTGCCTGAATGATAAACGAAGATTTATAGTTTGTCTTAAGTTTTTTTCATCTACTATGGCATCCATGCAATCTGGTTTTTTTATGCACGTTCTAACGCCAATGAACCCGATCTGGAGAAGATGCTAGGAATCCTCGATCGAGAAAGTCGTAAAGTGTTTGTCTCTCGATCTTTGACCTATCAATCTCTAAGATTTTGCGACGTTTTTTTACTTCGATCAAAGGCTGTGAAGAGATAATGATGTATTTATCAAGGTTGTTAAAACCGGACCGGATCGGCCGGTCCGACCGGTTGAACCGGCAACCGGCCAGTTCACCGGTCCGGTTCTATGGAAGAAACCGTCTGTCAGTAAAACCGGTCAAAAATTGACCGGTCGAACCGGTCCAACCGGCCAAAAACAGGTTGGTTCAACCGGTCAAATATTTTTTTTTTTTTTTTTTTTTGCCAATCCGGTCAAATGATTTTTATGTATAAATTCTAACACTTTTATAAAGCAACTAACCTTTTATGGTTACCGATGTGGGACAAGATGTAAGAATTCCAAATTTCCAATTGTAATGGTAAAGAACTAAAGTCACGCGTGGAAGGAATTTCTTTTTCTTTTTACCTGCGCGTGGAAGGAATTTCTTTTTCCATGTCCCATCTTTATTTTCTATTATTTTATTGCCCAATATGGGAGTGAGGAAATATTTCTTTTTTTTCCATATCTTTTTACTATCATTTTATTGCTTAATCTATATATGGTGGGACCAACCTTTTAAGAAATAAGTCAACTATATTGAATATTTATAAAGTATTATATATTTAAAATATCAATAAATTAAATAACTTAAAAATTAAGTTAACTATATCTATGAAATATTATATATATTTAAAAATATCAATAAATTAAATAACGGTCCAACCGGTTCAACTACTGGTCGGACCAACGAACCATTGAACCAGTAACTTGACTGGTTCGATGATCGGTCCGGTTTTGACAACCTTGGTATTTATAATTAGATCAAACCTAACTATATCGGTCGTAGGAGATCCTATGACCCAATAAGTAATTGGACCTAAACCAATAACAATTTAATCAACTGCATATTCAATTTAACTTAATTAAGTATTTTCTATTAAATAGAAAATAATTTCATCACTCATAAATAAGTAGTCTAATTTAATCGAATATTTAGCACTCTCGATTCACTCACTACAAGAATAATCATTTTTAGTGACGATAATTTTTGTCGTTATGTCGTCACAAAAAAATACCGTCACAATAAGACGTATTATTGTGACGACATTCGAACATATAGCGACAATATTAGGACATTATTAGCGACGGTATTTTTTCTGACGACATAGCGACAAAAATTATCGTCACTAAAAATGATTATTCTTGTAGTGACTCTTAGTCGAAAAAACTGATTGCATATTGTGTGACTCTATAGACTTTCGTATATTAACATGAATCTAATTTATGATCCTTAAAAAACTTCTAGACATTGTCGAAAGACGAACTCAAAATATTACGTACATTTACATGGACAAGACAAACTAACATTTAGTGTTGAACTCAATGGTAATACTGTAGCGTCCCACTCGTTTTATATGATTTTTTCCGTGTTTATTATTTATTTTATTTTAAATTGCTTGTTCTTATATTATGGCTTACAATTTATTATCCTTTTGCCCTTGTTTCGTTTTATTATTTTTTGCATTTAATTATTATTATGTGCTCACTTTTATTTTTATGTGATTGTCTCAATTTTATATAATTGCTTGTCTTTATATTTTATGTGATTGCCTCAGTTTTATATAATTGCTTGTCTTTATATTTTATTTGATTGCCTCAATTTTATATAATTGCTTGTCTTTATATTTTTAGGTGATTGCTCTTATCTTTATGTTATGTGTATGACTTGGTGGAATTAAATGTTATGACTTATTTAGTGAGAAATTTCGCACCCTCATTTATGCCAAGTATGGTAAGTGTTGACGGACGTTTCCGGTCAACGGTTAAAAAGTCAAATAATGGAAAGAAAACGAAGAAAAGACAAAGAAATACGGTTTAATCACGGTTTTATTAACGGGTCACGAGGTCGGCCTCTCGTACGAGGTCGGCACTTGTGATGTAATATTGCTTACAAGAGTTTCTTACAAATCTTTAGAGAGAGAAAATATGAGCTCGAGCAGTTGGGGTTCAACAACCCAAAAATAAATGAGGGAGTTGCTATTTATAGGAGACTTTAATGCGGCACTGTTTGGGTACTGTTCAGCGGTCTTATCGCACAGTAGCTCAGCGGGACAAACCGGCGCTCCTCTGACTGATTGAGAGTGATTTCCGGATTCTCCAATCATTACCTGCCATACATTTAATGCGAACGTGGGCTGCATTAAATGCGGACACGTTCTGGCTGAGTTGGACGTCCCATCGGCAATCATGCGTAGACAAGTGGCATTATTTTATTGTGTCCGACGTCACACTTCTATCAGGAGCCGCCCTTGCGAGACTTGGAACAAGGTGCCGACCTCGTGGCCGCATGGATACGGTGCCGATCTCGGGACTTGTTCCCCCCGCCATTCCAGACGACTTTGACTCTCATTCAGATCGGCACCCACGTGCGGTTTTGGTGACCGGCTCCTTCGGCTTGGATCGGTACTTACGTTGGGTCCGGACTCGGATATCAACATACAGGCCCCCGAGCTCTGGTGAGGTATTTCGGACCTCTCCGGAGGTCGTCTTCAATCGGTGGAATCCGAGCAGGGCCCCTCGAGTTCGTGTCCGTCTCCTGTTGAGGTCGGCATCTCCAACACACTTCAGTCGTGGGGGCGCAACGATTGGCAACAGAAGACGTGTGGTGTAACGGTTGATAAACGTGGGTGCGAGCGTTAACTGCATTCACACTGTGGGGGGACACGTGGCTGATTAAGGGTCACGCATTTCGAACGGACGTAACGGTTGACCAGAAGGTGGGCGACGGTTATCTTGCACAGGACGCTTCAGTTACTTAGGCCGTTTCGAATTTTGAATTTCAAAAAGCCTGTCCGCGTGTCCACCCCTGACTGGTCGGGCGGTCGCCTATATATATCTCTTTTCTCAGAAGTTCCTTCACTTTTTCCAAGGACTTCGAAAATTCTCTTTGCTTTTTTCAAGAGCTCTGAAAATTCCCTTCCTCTTCGGTCGAGAACTTTGCGGCGACGATCTCCGGCAACTTTTCGGTAATTCCTGTTTTTTCCCCCTTACTTTTTCCTTCTCGTCTCTTCGATTACGATGTCTTCTTCTCCGAGATCTGCGGGCGACGGCGGCGACTTCGTCGGTGAGGGCGACGAAACTTTCCGGCCGGCGGACGTCATCCTCACCGCCGTCCCTATCTCAATTGTTCGGCCGGACCCCTCGGTGGTGGAAGTCGCCTCCGGCGGCGGAGGCGTCGAACCTGACCTTCCCTCGTCGCCGCTACGCGAGGGCGGTGGTGCCGACCAGGACCCTTTGGCTGCAGCCGACGACGATGACGTCGATCTTGATTTTCTGGACACCGACTCCGATGTCGATCCAGATCTGGTTGATGAGACCCTTCAAGGGGAAACCGGCGGTCGGGAGCGTGTCCCCCTGGGGGACGCGTCGTTCGACGCCGCTCTCGAGGAGGTGACCGCCGTTCCTCCGGGGTTCTGGCGCCGACCCGAACGGATCCGGGCATCACCGAGTCAGGCGACGGCCTGGAACACGGCGTCGATCCTGGATGATGCCGATCTGGCTCAGCTGAAGGGAATGTTCAACTTCGGCCCCGGTGTTCGGCTGTTCGCACCCTATCCCGGAGAGAGGATTCATTGCCCGCCGCCGGGCTGTATAGGGGTCTACCGTCACAGCATCCACTTAGGCCTTCGGTTTCCCCTGCCCAGTGCTCTCAACGACATTTTGAGCGGACTTGAGGTCGGCATCAGTCAATATGTGCCGACAGTGTTCGCCCGCCTGATGAGTTTGATCGTCATGTACCGTCGTGAGGGTTGGGCCGACCCCACCGACGACGAGGTGAGGTCCTTGTTTGCTTTCAAACGCGCCGGTGAGACCGGCAACTACTACAGCTCGGTGCTGCCCGGCATCGACAAGACGTTGGTGGCCAAGTTGCCCGAGACCCTGCATGGCTACATGCCGCACTGGTTTTGGGTCGGCGGCGAGTGGAGGACCCCGGACGCTATTCGGCACCCGCCTACTCATTTCATTTCTCATACTCGTAAGTTTTTGTTTTCACATTCGTCACCAACTGATTTTCTTTCCTTTGTGCTAACAGGTCATACTTTGCGTTTTCAGTCCATACCCACAGCTCGGCACTCAGTCCACGTTTGGCCGAACGACTCAGCACCTTGTTGGCGCGAAACGAAGAGGACCGCCGCTATTCCAGCCTCGTCAAAGAAGAGACCCTCCTCAATCACAACCTTAGCCCGGAAATTGTGGACAGATCTTTCGAACCAGGTAGCTTCTTAACCCGGCTCGGCACTTTGTTGATCTTTTATTCTTCGCGGCCTGCTCGTTACTAACCGCGCCCTTAACTCTCTTTGCAGTATACTACCCTCTTCTCAGGCTCAAGGGGTTCGATTCTGTGAAGGCTGCGAACAAACACCGCCGCAAGCATCCAAATCCGCTCAAGACAAGAACAAAAGCTGCTATGTCTGGCCGTCTGAATCTTGCCAAGAAGAGGGCGGCGCTCAACAAGGAGCCGGCCCCGAAAACTGCCGACGTGCCGACCCCTACGGAGCCAAGCACCGTCCCTGCTGTCCCCCAGGCCCCTCGCGCTCCGGCGCCGGAACCACGCATGACAAGGCGACGGGCTCGCGAGGCACCGGGCACGACCGGCGGCGAGGCCCCGGGTGCGGGCGGTGAGGGCCCGGCTGCGGCGAAGAAGAAGAAGGGCGCCGAGGCCGAAAGCTCGGGTCTCGCCCAGGA